AGAGGCTGGATTAGACCGTTGTTTCAAAGCTGCCATCAGGTTTGGTGCTTATCACCATCCTCATTACAGAGACAAATTTTAGAACATGAGTCAATGCACACTTCTCTTTGCTCGTCATTAAAAGTTTACGTGTCTTCCGTACTCGTGTTATGCAAATAAGCAGAAGGCGTTCAAACTTGAAATGTCGACATGTCAGTATCTTTAGCAGCTCATTTTACAATAAAGGTTAGCTGTAGACTCTATTTGAACTCATTTGGTTCGCTTTGATATTTGAGGACATCATGTGTAAGCCTTGTTGTGTGTCAGTGGCTCTAGTTTGCGCGTTTNCGCTATTGTGTCAATCAAGTTATACCTTGATGTCGGAAATGACGAATTCATGATTCCGGGTAATTTACTGAGGTGGCATCCTTTGTGTTTATGTCAACTTGTGCAAGATATTCAAACTTGCCTTAGAACCGAGAACTTTTTTCATCCATGTTATAGACAATTTGGATGGCGGTGTCCTTTTGGGTGTAGTTTTTCACTTTTGAGTCAGAAAGAGTGGGTAACTGAAGAATCTGGGTATCTATCTTTTGAACATATCAGATTGTAAATGATTTGTTTTTCCAAATATTTGGCTTTCGTTATTCGTTTTCATTGTTTATGATGGTCAGTTCTATTTGTATCGTTATTGATATTCAACATTAACACAAAAGCAAGAGGCTGGATTAGACCGTTGTTTCAAAGCTGCCATCAGGTTTGGTGCTTATCACCATCCTCATTACAGAGACAAATTTTAGAACATGAGTCAATGCACACTTCTCTTTGCTCGTCATTAAAAGTTTACGTGTCTTCCGTACTCGTGTTATGCAAATAAGCAGAAGGCGTTCAAACTTGAAATGTCGACATGTCAGTATCTTTAGCAGCTCATTTTACAATAAAGGTTAGCTGTAGACTCTATTTGAACTCATTTGGTTCGCTTTGATATTTGAGGACATCATGTGTAAGCCTTGTTGTGTGTCAGTGGCTCTAGTTTGCGCGTTTCTGCAGAAACGCAAGTGGCACCACAGCGCCTAACAACTCCGGAGTTCAAGCAACTTCGAAATGCCATAACGTGTACACTTAATACAATAGTTTTTATGCCGGAGCGAACAACAAGATAGAAGCGCTACTTCGTGAAGTTAAACATGAGCTGAGCGAGATTCGAGAAGAACTCAAATGTATGAAATTTCAGAGGAGCTTAAAAGCTCGCTCACACTTGCGGATTCTTCTTGTGTTATCGGTGGTGACTTTAATGTGATTTTTGACCAAGATCTTGATGGAAGTGGGGGTATTAAGAAAACGAAGGAATCAGTCAAAATTCTGGAGGATATTTGTTTGGAGCAGGATTTGATAGATATATGGCGTGTTAGAAATCCGACGGAGAAACGCTTTACGTGGAGACAGAAGACCCCAATTATTCAGAGACGTTTGGACTATTGGTTGGTAAATGATTCTTTGCAGGACGACATTGTTTCAGTTGACATAATACCATCTATTAAATCAGATCACTCTGCAATTACATTGTCGATTAACGGTATAGATGACAGTAAACGCGGTCCAAGCTTTTGGAAGTTTAATTGTTCTTTAGTGAATGATACTAATTATTGCGATCTCCTTGACACAAACATCAAAAGTTGGCTCGAAGAATTTAAGGATGTTGTTGATAGGCGTGTCTTATGGGACTTGCTAAAATACAAAATTCGACAGCTCACTATAAGTTATAGCAAAACAAAAGCTCGGAACCGGAGAGCTAAACTTAATGAACTGGAAGAAAAATTACAGAACTGTACCAAAAAGTGTGACAATGATCCATCGAGACAAAATGTTGAAGATTTAGAATGCTTACAGGCAGAATACGACCAACTGTATGATTACATTACTCAAGGAGCTATTGTTCGTTCCCGTGCAACGTGGTACGAAAAAGGTGAAAAGAACAACAAATATTTTTTGAATTTGGAAAAATCAAATAAAAATAAAAGTTGTTTGCGGAAAATTTTAAAAAGCGACGGAACAATAGCAGTTGATCCTAATACAATTATGAGTGAATTAGATTTCTTTTACTCCAATCTTTACAAAGAGAATAATAGTCATTCATCGTCATTTCTAGATGACTTAAAGGAAGTTCCTACCTTGACTGAAGAGTTGCGAATGGTATGTGAAGGAAGGATAGAATATAATGAATGTTTTAATGTCTTACAATCCTTTCCAAAAAATAAAACGCCTGGGAACGATGGACTAACAATAGAATTCTATTTGGCTTTTTGGTCTTTGATTGGGAAACCTCTAGTAGATTGCATCAACTACTCTTATGAGTTTGGAGAACTTTCAAACTCACAAAAACAGGCTATAATCACATTAATTGAAAAAAAAGGAAAGGATAAACGAGTAATTAAAAATTGGCGGCCTATATCGCTAATTAACGTCGATGCGAAAATTATTTCTAAAGTTTTAGCGAAGCGCCTGGAAAAGGTCTTGCCAAATTTAATACATCCCAGTCAGAATGCATTTGTTAAAGGTAGGTCCATATTTGACGCAATTAGAACGATTGATGATATTGTGGATTACACCAAACGGAACAGTTGGTCGGGATTTATGATCGCAATTGACTTTGAAAAAGCCTTCGACACACTAGACTTTCGATTTCTAATCAGAACATTACACAAATTCAATTTTGGCCCATCTTTTATTCAGTGGATGCGTGTTCTGTATAAAAATGCATCCAGCTGTGTAATGAACAATGGATTTACGACTGGTCCTTTTCTACTAGGTAGAGGTGTCAGACAGGGGGATCCACTCTCCCCTTACCTCTTCATCCTAGCGCTTGAGACCTTAGCTATAAAAATAAGAGAGGACTGCAATGTACAAGGGCTTAAAATTGGAGAAGAAATGATTAAACTGTCTCTATTTGCAGATGATATGACCTGTATCTTAAAAGACAAAACATCTTATACAAATCTGTTTCGTATTCTCAACTCTTTTGGAGAGTGTTCCGGCCTAAAGGTGAATGATGAAAAAACAGAAATCATGCCTCTAGGAGATAATATCCTACAGGAGAAAGACTTCCCAACTCATAGTATTTGTGAGATCATAAAAATCTTGGGGATATATTTTGGTTATGATGATAGACAAAGGAACAACCTTAACTTTAGTCAAACTTTAAAAAGTATAAAGGAATCAATCAACGTATGGAAATGGAGAGGGCTCTCCCTTTTAGGGAGAATACAGATAGTCAAAACTTTCGCAATCCCAAAGCTTATGTTCAGAGCATCGGTTATACCAGTCTCTAAAGAACTAATTAAAGAGGCAAACTCAGTTCTCTACAACTTTATTTGGAATGGGAAGGACAAAGTGAAGCGTCTTGCATTGATATCTGATATAGAAATGGGTGGACTCAAAATGTTGGACATTCAATCTATGATTTGCGCTAAACGAATAACATGTTTAAAGAAATTATTGGAGGATTACTCAAGTCCTTGGAAAGTAATCCTAGACAAACTTCTGTTACCAGTCGGAGGACGTTTTGTATTGCATTGCAACTTTCAAACTTCTAAATTGAAAATCAGTCTACCAGCATATTATAAGGAATGCTTCGATGCGTGGTCGGAGGTTAATGGGAAGACTCCAAGTTGTTACGAGGAAATCATTAACGAAATTATCTGGAACAACAAATTTCTTTGTTATGACAAAAAATCGATGTACAGAAGAGATATAGTAAATTTAGGCTTCGTGAAGATTAAGGATTTAATTTCTGCGCACAACTCCTTCTTGTGCGACTTCTCTTCACTTACAAACCCTGAACAACGATTTTTTCTTATGAGTATTATCAATTCGATTCCCGCAGAATGGCGCTCACTTATTAAAGCATCTACAAACGTCATATCAGCCAATCCCATACCGATTACCCCAACTATTAAGTTGCCAAGTGGTAATGTAGTGCCAATCCTTGATATCTCTCCTAAACAGATCTATCAAATCTTTCTGCAGCAAAAGCAAATTGCGCCCACCGCAAAACAGAAATTGTCAAACAATTACGCAAATATAGATATTGATTGGGAAAAGGCTTACACTTTGGCCTTTCATTGCACTTTGGACACAAAGATCAGGGAATTTCATTACAAAATTTTAAATTGTATAATCTTTACAAACGTGAAACTTAATTTAATTGGTGTGGTGGAATCGCCAAACTGCACTTTCTGTCAAGAAGCAGCGGAATCCGTCGAGCATTTACTCTTCTCCTGCAGGATATCTTCTGAGTTTTGGAAGCATGTCTTGTCCTGGCTAAGAGATAATTATGTTCATGTTGAGACAATTAATGAGTCTGATGTGATATTTGGAAAATTTGATATTGTAGAAGACTATATTCTAATTAATCATATTTTGTTATTAGCTAAATATTATATCTACTGTAGGAAATGTCATAATAGCGTACCTTCAATTAGAGGTTTTATTGCTAGGGCAAGACGTGTCTTCAATATTGAGCTCCATATCGCCAGGGAAAAAAATAAACTTCTTTTTCATTTTCAAAAGTGGGAGAAGCTAACTAATGCACTTTGTAGTAGTTGATACCCATAGGTTCGTTAAAATTAGCAGGCATCTTTATTAATATCGTCGTTGTTGTAATACATACATACATTTTTCGTTGTTGTTATCCTTTTTCCTTTTTGAGTAGAATTGTATTTAATGTTTATTCTTAAGTAAAATTGTAAAACTTGTCTTTAATTCAATAAAAACTGTTAAAAAAAAAAATATATGTATGAAAGAAAACAAAACGATTGAGAAAGGTAGGTCATTTTTCAGTTTTTATTATTAATTGTTCTTTTCTCTCAACAAGCACGTTATTAAAGTGATAAAAGTATTGTCCATTTTCATACTATTTTCAATTGTCTTGACAAGGAAAGTAAAGATTTAGCACTTCCTCTTCGATTCATCGTTAGCACCAAAAAAATATTCCTTGGGTTCTTAATTTATTGGTGTTGTTCGGTCCCTTCGATGTTTACTGTGACCAAAATACAGCCGGTGGGGGGTGGACAGTGTTCCAAAAGAGACTGGACGGCTCGGTTGATTTCTACCTCGGTTGGGACGACTACAAACGAGGCTTTGGAAATCTGAATGGCAAGTTTTGGCTTGGACTGGACAAGATTCACCGCCTGACAAAAGAACGAAGCAGGCTTCATGTGGATCTTGAAGACACAACTGGAAAAACAGCTTACACTGAATACGACTTTTTTGGTGTTTCAAGTGAGAGAAGCAAATACAAGGTGAGTCTTGGAACATACTCCGGTAAGTCTTGTAAGCAGTTGCAAAAAGAAATAATCGAGATGTAAGTTTTTATGAATTGTTTTGTGACGGAAAGTTTTTCCTTTTGGAACGAATTAAAGGTTTTGCGGGAAACGGTGCCTAACTCTCGATGAAACTGACAGAAACTAGACTCAAATGGCAACTCGCTTGCGGGGAAGAGCCGTCACTTCACTCTTCGGGATCAAACCCGCACTAACTGGTACAGGTAGTAGATAAAACAAAACTGAACTTTGGTTCCAACAATGTTTATTCTTCTCGGTACATCAACTACACTGTAGCAATCAACTCTGGTTATACTTGGCGAAGTAATCAGTAATCCATCCGTGACGTAATCGAAAAATAGTAAAAACTAGCCTGGTTGCTTATGTATGACGTCTACAACAACCATTTAAGACAAAATTAGCACAACAGAAATGTTAACAGAAATTTCTTACAGGTAAATGAATACTAAAAGCAAAATCTATTTTTCACCTGAAGTCTTTTGCTACTGTTACTATTTTGAGAAGTAAAACTACTAAAACCAGGTCAGCAAAACAGCGATTATGTACGAAGTATTAGAGTATAAACTGTGAATCGCACCAATGACATTACGAGTCTTCATAGCCAGCAACATCGTCACAACTTAAGGTGATTCCTTAGTAAAAGAACCTAACATAGATTGTAGATGAAACTTGGTACACTGATGTAACAAGTCATGAAGATGATAAAAAAGTAATAAAAAGTGGGGGTCACCGTGCTCGTTTTGACGTCACAATGCTGATAAATACGGCTATTTTTGGACCCTTTGACAAAAACCGCGCGCAGCCCAAAACTAGACAAAAAGGAGAGATTTTTTCGATGATGCATGTGGTATCGCACAGAATTTGACTTTATTGTATTGTTTATCCACTTACATACCAGAAAAATGTCTTTTAATGCTCCTGTTTTTACTTTACGCCCCAAAGTAGAATTGAGTTGGACAATTTAGTAAAATTGCCAAGAAACTGAACATAGATTTGTGCCAATTTTTTTCTCAACGAAAGGAAGCACTGTCCTTATTTAAATCATGAAATAAAAAACGGGGGCCACCGTACTCGTTTTTGCGGTAGAGCTGCAGAAAGTGCACATCAAATGCCTTTTCTCCGATTTTTGAGAGAGGACTGGGGCGAGTTTCAAAATAGAATGTATGTGCAGCAACACGCGTACTGCTTACGTTATGCACATTCCCAACACATTGAGTGTCACCTCGGCAAGAAACAACCGCAAGTAAAAATTCCAATAGCATTTCTCTTCAGTCAACTTCATTTTAATAATGTTACTTCACATGCTGTTTTTTACGTCGGCCATCTTGTTATGCGCAGTAAGAGATGCGCAGTGCAAAACCAGGGAATCACCTTAATTAACAGACGACCAATAACAATACACAGCAATTATGGAGTCACTCTTGGTGTTAAAGCTATAGGCCTCAGTTCTTTGATGGGTAGCTTTTCATAAATGAGGCAGTCAAATTTTCCGTGGCACTTCTTGAGAACGCGAAATTGGCCCTCATTAAGAAGATTTTTGTCTCCGTGAGCTTCTTTTATTCTTCTGAATACTTGTGTTCGGCAATGCATTAATGAAGGTGTCAGGCTGTGTAGCCAACATAGTCTGCATCACACAGATCACATGCAAATTTGTAAACAACGCAATGCTGACTTACAATACTTGGCTTAATTCCTTTTTGGCTTAAGATCTTGCTCCAATTTTTTGCTCGCAAAAATAGGCTGTAAAGTGACGGCAATCTTATTGTTGAGACCACGTAATTGCATACGGACTGCGTTAGCGGCTATCCGGATCTTTGAAGGAAAGAACTACTCTGATCGTGTTGACATCATCGGTTTTCCTTTGTGACTTATATTTTGAATAAACATATTAATGGTGGAATTTATGAGGGCAATTGGATAATCAAGTCGGTAGAAGATAGATCGTAACTTGGCACATTCCTCATTGAAGGCTTCTGTCGTAGATGACAGAATTCCCAAGTATGCTTAGATGAATGTCTAAATCTGTGATTTAATCATTTAACTAGGATCAGCCTGTAGGATGAAGCGAATTTCGAGTTTACCACATGTTATATTTTGTCATCGAAAATGAGTAATGCACTAAGTTTTTGTTATCGCGTCATTTTTGAATCATTTCAGTTCGACGAGTCTCGCTATTTCCTTGAAAATATGTTCTAGTGAAAGAAAAAGATTTGTTATGCGTGTTAATGGCAAGTGGCCAATCTACTCCGTGCGGCTATTTAGCGAACGCGAGGAAAGTTGATGTTACATTAGCAACTTAGACCATTCTGAGACCCCGAGCTCGAACTTTTTCTGCCAAATAAAAGACTTTCGGCGGGAACAATTTGCATCACGTTTCTTATCTCTAGAACTATCAATCGACAAGAAATGAAAGAAATCGATTTTTTAACTCTTGCCACGAAATCAGGATTTTATTGCTCTATTTCAGTTTTCTGGTCGTCGCTCTTAAATAAAATCAACTGCATGCATGAAACTAAAAACACCGGGGACGCTTCTGGTTATGTCACTTTGAGGGTCTTGTAAGAAGATGCAAAATGTTAATTTCTTTAACTGTTTTGTCACAATCCTTTGTGTCTGTGTCAACTACAATACAAAAAGCTTCGCGTGCAAGGTATTCAGTCTTAGACCACGAACGTTTATTCATATCTCCGTTGGTAGTGTCCTCGTCAATGAATTTTTTTTCACATTTTGAGCCAGGACGGACTGATAACTGAATGATCTTAATATCTATACTTTGAAGATTTTGAATGATTTTTTTTCCAAATATTGTCTTTCGTCTATTTGCAAACTAATATTTTGACTGTTTGATGATTCGAGATGATCAGTTCAATTTGTATCTGCATAATTATCAAACACATAGTCACTCAGCAGCATTATCTTCTCGACGTTCACTGAGTCTGAAACTAAATAGAACCGTTGCTTCGATGCTACCATCACACAACCTGCCACCAGGCGTAGTTAGCATCCCGCTCGTGACAGAATCAAATTGTAGGACATGAGTGAACTGATGGTAATTTGACGATTGTCTTTTCTGACGTTAAGAGTTCCGTGCTTGTATTGTGCAAATAAGCTCCGGGCGCTCAAACTTGAAAACTCGACTTGTCTGTTACTTGGCAGTCCAATTTCACAATAAACTTTAGTTACGCTGACTCATTCTCCTTTAATACAGTCGTGGTGATACCAGTTGAACTTAATGACATTTGGTTCGCGTCGATTTAGGAATGATCGTGTGTAAGCTTCGACGTAGTGTCTTGACTCTAGTTTGCGCATTTCTGGTGATAGCTACGCTTAACGCCAGAAATGCAAGTGGCACTACAGCGCCTAACGACTCTGCAGTTCAAGCAGCTTCCAAATGTCATAACATGTACACTTACAACAGTTTTTACGCCGGAGCGAACAAGAAGATAGAAGCCCTGCTTCGCGAAGTTAAAAGTGAGCTGAGCGAGATTCGAGAAGAGATCAAATCCATGAAAGAAAACAAAACGAGTGACAAAGGTATATTCCAATTTCATATTCATTTTCAATTATCTTGACAAGGGAAGCAAAGCTTATAGCATTTCGTCTTCGATTCATCCTCCTAGGGTACATAATTTTATTTTCGAAAAGACAGATCAATAAGTTAAAAGAATTTTTAATTTCCGCTGTCCCTTTTTCAGGGGCACCCAACGACGGTTTACTCCTAAATGCATTGGAGAGTCTATTTAGGCTATCCAGATTATTTTAGATCTCTACAAATGAATTCTAAGCCGGTGGCGCTATAAAATTTGTATCTGTTCGGTCATCCTAGGGGAACTTGAGGCTTTTCGAAATTACATGGGCTTCAGTGTTAATTTCCCGAAGTGCAAGTGAACGTAAAACGAAAGTAAAAATATTTCTTTTTTCTCATCTCCCCATCACATTTTTGAATCCCAAAAAAAATTAGCCCAACGTAAGAAGTAACATATGAAAACTTCAGAAAATCGTAGGGAATTTTTAGATAAACTTCGAAAATTGTACATGTACCTGAGTGGAAAGCTCATCTAGACATTTTTAGCCATATTCAAGCAATAGAAAATTCTAGGAAATATTTACTGCTTCTCCGAACAGATAGTTTACAGAAATTTAGGCGTTGGGTGCCCCTGCCTTTTTTTTACTTACCAATAGTAAGAGCGAGAATATCAACGAAATTGTTGTCCTGAAATTTTAGTGTTTAAGAACTGCGCAGAACTCTACAAAGCTGGTAAACGAATAAGTGGCGTTTACAAGATCAACCCTGATAATGACGGTGCCTTCGATGTTTATTGTGACCAAAAAACAGCCGGTGGTGGGTGGACAGTGTTCCAAAAAAGACTGGACGGCTCAGTTGATTTCTACCTCGGGTGGGACGACTACAAACGAGGATTTGGAAATCTGAATGGTGAGTTTTGGCTCGGACTGGACAAGATTCATCGCCTGACAAAAGAACGCAGCAGACTTCGAGTAGATCTGGAAGACACGACCGGAAACACAGCTTATGCTGAATACAGTGTTTTTGGTGTTGCGAGTGAAAGGAGCAATTACAAGCTGAGTCTTGGAACATACTCGGGTAAGTATGGTCGCCGCGGCGGCGCGGTGGCCACTTGCAGAATGAGATGTAACTCTGCATGACTGGTTTTAAAGTCGTTCTTGGAGATCAGAGTATTATTGAAGCTGATTCGCGAAATTTATCAAAACTCAATCATATATTGGGACCTTGCACCAAATTGAGGAAAATATTTAAAAAGTGGATCAAAACATTATTAAAAGAAGGTATAAATTACGTAACAAACACAAAAGAAGGCACGGATGGACAAACTTGAGGGAATGGATTGCACTGAATTGCCGTTTTTGAAAACTTGTTAGCCTAACAGTTTGATTTTCACAGGTTTATTCTTTTCGTTTTTATGTAAGAAATTGTTATAATGCTTTGGGTTATTTATTTGACGCGAAGCTGTGTTTTTTTTTTTTTTTAATTCATTTACAGGTGCATTTTTCGTAAACGTTAAGTTTCTTATAGCGAAACGAAGAGAAGCGTGAGACAACATTAACTCAATGATCTAGACAGTCTGACAAAGCCAAGCCCGGCCTTTAAGATCATTTTCTCTTTTCTTGAAGGAACTGCTGGTGACTCACTTTCATATCATCGTGGAATGGCGTTTTCTACCAAAGATCGAGACAACGACTTGAATAGCGGCGACTGTGCAAAGCGTTGCAAGGGAGGATGGTGGTTTAATTCATGTCTTTATTCCAACCTGAATGGCCTCTATCATCACGGAAAACACTCTACGTCATGGGAGGGTGTCAACTGGAATACGTGGAAAGGCAGCACCTACTCCGCAAAACGAGCTGAAATGAAAATCAAACCAGTTAAAGCCTAGAGCTACCTTCTCTTTTTTTCTGCTGTAACTTAATCGATATTAAGGTCGTGCAATATTCAGTAGATGAGTGACGGTTTAACCATTCTGATCATATCATTGAGTGGAAAACCAGTATAGACAATTAAAAATTTTGGCTTTTAAACTCTCTGAGTACAGTGTTCTCCTGTTACACTAGTCAAATGTTTGCCCCGGATTCGAGTCAGGGACTGACGACTCAGGTTGGACCAGTGAACTGCCGGTGCTTAGGTGGGGGCGGAGCGGGCGGGGGGGTTAGGGTAGAGGGCGCGACTTATTTCTTTCAGCCTTAAGCCCACCCCACTGGTCACAACTCTGAAAATGGATCACAGCAGACTATTCGTGGTCTTTTTGGTTGGATGAAGAGAAGTGTGGTACGCATTGTCCAAAAAGCCTGTTTTCGTACTTCGCGTAATCCAGCACACTCTAAATCAGTACCATACAACAAACCAAGCACGCTGTTTCGAACGTAAAGCAAAAGTAGATTGACACGGGTGGATTTATGTGCATGTTCGTTTTCGTTTCCTCTGCGGCTCTGGCTGTGCCAGGCTCTCAGTCACGATCTGTGTACATATAAACTATCTTTGACTGCATGAAACAGGCCACTCATTAAGTTCCAGATATGTATACTTTAGCCACGCCTTACGACCTTTTCTTTCGTAACGTATTTATCCCATCATTATTCTTTAATGGCATTGGCATGCACTCATTGATTAACAATGCCGTAACAAAAAGCAAAAATGGAAAACAATGTCCCAACAGCCGAATCTACGTCCTGTCAAAAATGGACAAGCATGACAAGTTGAACGTAAAAAAAGAAGTAATACGTGACAAGTTTTACTAATCCTCTTTATCTTAGTGTTTAAAGCATTAAAAGCGGTTAAGTTATAAAATAAGAAACAGGACGAGAAGTGTGCCATTTGACAGGTTAAAGGTCAAGTCATTCAACAGCAACTCCACTTAATCGATAATCTCAGCAGTTTACATATTTTTCTTCCAGGCTAGTATTTCCCCGTAGCTCCGGGAAGAGATTTTATGGGCGATTTGATGATAACAGTCTTCCCTGCGGGAGAGAGTGATCTGTTCTTCTTCTTAAACGAAATAGGCCTTTTGTAACACAGATAGGGTCACAGGGTACAACTGATAGTCACGCTGGCGTGAAAACAATGTAGTGAACCAAGAAAGAGGATTGCCCCATGTATCGTCTAAAATGATAATTTCTTTTCAAGGACCATTGCGTTGTTTGCTCACAATGCTAAATCTGTAGCATTTCAGTTGACGGTTTGTTGAAATTAACAACACAGCATAGATATAGGTGTAACTGAATACATAACATAGAGAATAGAGACAGGAATGATAAACATTTAAAACTACATTCTTTACCCATAGCAAAACCTAAAGGGCGTGCAATAAGGCATTTTTCACGAGGACGTCATTTTACTACAAGTGATCAAAATACTTCCGGGTTTTCCTTTCGAGGGCAGACTAAATTTATAATTACGACCACAGCTGATTACAAAAAAGAGAGAAAAAGACGAAATCAGTTCCCTGGTTGAAGTCGTAGAATAAAACTATTGTGAGAACGTCCTGTTAATGCTAATGATTTCCTTTTAAAATCGATCGAAAAACTTGAACTGCCACCCATTTTTCATGTGCACTTTAATTCTAACTTCCATCCTTAAGCTGAAAAATGGGTGGGAATTAAGTGAAAGTATATTTTGTGTTTCAACATTAAAGATCGTTTAATATATTTCCGTTTGCGTATATCGTGTAAATCGCGTGTATTGCAGCATGCTCCTTTACTCCGGAGTATTAAACAGAGAGAGACTCGGAAGACTGTTCAGTGTTTTGCAAAAGTGATTTATTTCTCGTTAGTGAAAAGCAGAGATTTAAACGAGAACGAGTAGGCTAATCATGGTTTACCGTCGTTCACTTTGGAGTCTTTGCAGTCTTCTGACAGTGATAGCTTTACTAAGTTTTGCCAAATCAAGCATAATAGCAAACAACACCGCAGTGCGTAGCCCCGACGAGGGTTCTAAATGTCATGTATACAACACTTACAACTACTACAACAGCCACTTAAACACGGGGTCGAACAAGAAGATGGAAGCACTACTTCATCGAGTACTGAATGAGTTAAGCGAGATAAGAGAGGAGATTACGTTATTAAAAGCAAACAAAACGACTGGTAAGTACGTATACAAAGAGTGCGCACCCTTACCGTGCACGTAGAAGATAGGAGTTCTTTCATTTGTCTTTGTTTTGCTGTGTTTTGTTTGTTACTTATTTATTTTTTGAATGATTAAATTCTAGCTATAACCTTGCCCCTCGTGGCAATCATCGATGATGATGGGCAAATAACTCTACCCGCACTTTCTTGATAGAGAGAAGTTAACAAACAGCGGACGGAACAGTAGTAATCATCATCATCATCATCATCATCATTAACATTATCATCATTATCATTTTTATTATTACTATTATTCCTATTGTAGTTATAGTAAATGCTCTTCAGCTACTGTGCGCTCCTCTGCATAATGTACAGGCGCTGAAAAATTAAAACAACTTATTTCTTTGAGATTGCACCGTTAAAACATTTAAAACGCTAAAGGGATAAAAGTTGAAAAGCAGCTAAAAACTTTCGATCCATAGAAATCCACAATCGGGTCTAAATTAAAAATCATACCTGAGTCACACTCGTGAAAGACGGTAAAAAAGGGATAAAAGGCAAAAATCAGGTTTTCTCTAAAACGACTGCTACCTTCGAATGCAGCAGTTTGTAACTTCTTATAAAAAGACCCCTGATGTTTTCCTCTCTGTGATGTCAAACGATACAAAAGTACTTCAGTTGTTTATTTCTTTATCCTTAGCAATTTACAAGAACTGTGGTGAACTCTACAAAGTTGGCAAGCGAAACAATGGTGTCTATTCCATTGACCCCGACAACACTGGTGCCTTCGATGTTTATTGTGACCAAAAATCGGCCGGTGGGGGGTGGACAGTGTTCCAAAAGAGACTGGACGGTTCGGTCGATTTCTATCGAGGCTGGGATGACTACAAACGAGGCTTTGGAAATCTGAATGGTGAATTTTGGCTCGGACTGGACAAAATTCATCGCCTGACAAAAGAGCGAAGCAGGCTTCATGTGGATCTTGAAGAGACGACTGGAAAAACAGCTTATGCTGAATACGACTTTTTTGGTGTTGCAAGTGAGAGAAGCAAATACAAGTTGAGTCTTGGAACATATTCGGGTAATATATAAAGCCTAGAGCCATACAAACATATAAGCGCAATTAAAATTTTATTCCTAAAATTATAATAATAATAATAATAATAATAATAATTATTATTATTATTATTATTATTAATAATAATAATATTATTATTATTATTATTATTATTATTATTATTATAGATTTAAACTACCTCTACTATATAGCGGTCGAGAGGTCTACCAAAAATTATGGCCTGAAAAAGAACAGCTTTGGATTTGACCCATTCAGAAAATTCATGATAGCGAAACCACAGAAGGGAAATATAAGTAGAGAAGAAATTTCGTAATTTGTGACAAAATGACATTATTCCCTTGAATCACACATTTAATTTCTCTTCGCCTGTTCTTTCACTTCTTGAACTTTGCAGGTTATTGTTTAGACTTACTTCTATGGGAAAAGTTCGATTATTAAGATAATTAGGATAATTAAGCTTAAATTATTTTGAAGTAAAACCTGGTCAATAGTAGAACTGGAAACGTTGATTTCCTGGCCAGCAAGTTACATGATTCTTCGGCATGGTTCGATAGAACTCTCTTTCCTCTGCGCAAGTGGATTAGTTGTCAAATATGAAAGTTGTCTGTGAGCGTCAATGAAGACGTCAAAAGTGCTACAACGGGACACTTTGTTCCCTGACACGGGACTGGCCACTGGCAACTGACATGTGAATGTGTTCAGTATGATAGACTCCAATTTTGAGTTTTACTGGAAAATAATGTGAACAGGCTAACCAGTTTCCAGGTTGTCGCAAGTTTGCCAACAGCCCTACCAACCTCGCCCCTCCCCTACATAAAAACCTCCTGTAGCTGCAGATCTTAAAGATCAGACACGCTTATGAGTGTTGAATTCCGAATTATTTTTTTCTTCTTTTGTTTCTTTTATTTCCCTTAAAAAAGTATAATTTTACCAGATAACTAAGCTAAGTCGAACAACCTACAACCTGCGAATTACTCTCTCCGGATGTGACAACCGGCAGTAACAATGAGAGAGTTGTAATTCCCTTTGTCTTGCTTCACTAAATATTAATGTAGCACGAATCTTCTCATCTAGGAACCGCGGGTGACTCGCTTTCATATCATCGTGGAATGGCGTTCTCCACCAAAGATCGCGACAACGACCTTGGTTCAGACAGCTGTGCCATACGCTGTAAGGGAGCTTGGTGGTATCAGTCCTGTGTTGATTCAAATTTAAACGGCCTCTATCATCACGGGACACACTCTACGTCATGGGAGGGTGTCAACTGGTATAAATGGAAGGGCAACAGCTACTCTGCTAAGCGAGCTGAAATGAAAATCAAACCAGTTAACACTTAGAGCTTCCTTTTTCTACTTCTTGAGTTCTTCTGAAACTTTGATGTAGTCGATACAATACATGGGCGCACTTGATTTAGTAGCTCAGTGACTCTCACAGTCGGAATCAGTGAACGAGTTTATTTTGATTAAGTTACTTGGAGTAAGTAATCAGTCATGGCTAAAACCGGAGCTACTGCTTAATACAAACCATTGACTTCAATCAAAATACTGAATACGTCTGGCTCAAAAATGAAAGGAGATAGGAGCCGTCGAAAGGAGGAACTCCCAGGATACAGTTTATCATTTCACAGCGTTTTTATAAACCGGTCTATTTTAAACATCTTTAAGAGTACTTTTTCTCTCGTATTGAATATCCGCTCCGTATGTGTGCACATTTCGAAAAAAAAAATATGAAAAAAATAATAATGATAAAAGACAAAAGAAAAAGAGTTGTCAGTAATGACTCAAAACTGCCATGTTCTGGTCTTTATCTTTTGATAATGGCTGTTTGGTATAAGTGTGTGGCAGGTGGATAGTTTAATGTCCAAACAAAACGTCAAAAACACGAACATCGTAACTTACAATCTTCATGCTCTCTTTAGTCTATAAATGCTCATGGCCTTGAATTAGTAGACCGCCGACCTTTATTGTGAATACGACTATCGTAAATGCATGCTACGTTACGTTCTAGCTGTTATACGGTCCATCCGCATGTACATTTACTAATTCTGTAGTACTGAAATTTGAAATGGACGGCTATATTTCTCCAGTGACCAGGCCAAGAAAGAACGCCTGATGATCACAGGTTAGTTATCCTCAGAACGGAATCCAGATGGTGTGAAAAGGAGTTTCCGTATAGTGCAATACTTTTTTTTTAAGATCAGTTGTTAGGAAAGTAAAGTGACAACTACACAACTACATAAAGTTCTTGTAGCGCTAGTAATGTGTTGGTCGTTTCTACATGTTTCTAATTACTCAGCAATTGGGTAATTTGGGTAAGAACGGCCTTCCAGATAGGAGATAAACTGTCAGCACTCTTAAGGTTAGACTGCAAAACAGTCCGTATTCTCCTCACTGCTTCTATGAGAAACGCTGTTAGGCAAGAAAAGAGAATCTTAATCATAATATTGGGACTAGACTTACAACAAGTCGACGTTACGAGGTTTTTAGCGAGCGGAGCGAGCTTCTAGGCCGCGAAGCGGCCAAGAGAGCGACTAGGTCGCGAGAGGTCTTCGTCCCGCGCCATATTAAATCGGACGAAGGACGTTTTTGAAAGTCTAGTCTGCCTTAAACAGATCTTAAACAGGGTATATAATTTCGTGCAAGCCTGTACTGATTATAAACAGGGTAATACAATACCTGCATGACTGATTTTGTCTGCTGACCGAAGTTTGTGTGTAATAAATTCAAGAGATAGGAAGGAAATGACTATAAATGGCTTTAAAATAAGGCAGCGTGTACTATACTTTGTCCTTTGTCCTAAACATAAGAGTAATAAAATTACGAGTGTTGTCCTTAACAGGGTATTTATTTTAGGGTTTTTTGTCCTAAACTGCTTCAGGGTTTCCCCTTGGGTTTCCCCTATACCTAAATATTGGTCGAGCAACTCCCCCAGGGGAATGTTTTTCTTCCAGTCTAGTAGTTCTCAGTAGCTCCTGAGATAGCTTTGTTGATAACCTAGTCTTTTCTGCTTCTCCCGCCTTTTAGAAGACTCAACGGGAGCCAGTTTCAGATGTCCTTGTTCGCCAACCGAAATAGGCCTTATGTAACGCTGCTAGGGTCAAGGGGCAGAACTGATAGTCTCGCTGGCGAGAAACCAATGAAGTGAACCAGGAAGAGGATTGCGTGTTTCATGTAAAATGTTTATTTCTTTTTAGGGAGTACTGAATTGTTTGCTCACCACTCGTGGCTAAATTTTTAATGTAGCATCTCAGTGTGAGGGTTTGTCCAAATTAACGTGGTATAGAATATCCCGTATTTGGCATGGCCACAAAAACTGACTTACACCGTAAAAGAGTACACATAATAGTGATTGGAAAATAATAATATCCCCTGTCATAACAAAACCTGTAGCTGAAGCCTTCAGCCATGACTACAACTCACCTAACAACTGACCTCAGTGACCAGAACTAGGAAGATTCCGGTTTTGCTTTCTTGGATCATTGGCTAGAATCGTTTGGTGTTGATGACAAAATTTAAATGACAAAGAACGAGGGAATTAAATGAATTCTCTGTTAGTTGTTGGAAAATGACAACATCTTAAAAATTTCCTATTACTTCCATATTGATGAAGGGAAACAGGAGCCTATCAGGTGACAGGCTGCTGAGGGAAGTAATTCTTATCTAAAGCAATCGAGACTCTTGACTTGGAGTTTCCTTTCATCTTTTTCGCACATTAATTCTCCTCTGCTCCAACCTAAAAATAGGTATCAATTAGGAAACACTATACATATTTAGCATGATCCAGCCTGCGAGAGCATCCGTTTTTTTCGGCTCTAGTCTCTAGTTTGACCCGCGGTGGGAAGAGAAGCGACGAAAGAGAGAGTACACGATACAGTATTTAGTGATAAAGCGAAAAACTTCCTCGTCATTGAAAAGCTGATTTACGAGCGAGAAAGAACACGCTGATCATGGTGTTCCGCCGTTTACTTTCGATTCTTTCTTTATTAATAAGCGTTGCTAAGTCCAATGCAACACCAAACAACTCAGCAGTGCTCAGGGCAGATGCGGATTCTAAATGTCATTCCTACAATACGAATTATAATTACAACTACTACAACAGCCCTTTAAATACAGGTTGGAACAAGAAAATGGAAGCTCTGCTTCATCGCGTTCTAAATGAGTTAAGCGAGATGAGAGAGGAAATCAAGTTTTTTAAAGTCAACAAAACGATCGGTATGTACAAATATATTAATAGTAATTGAATTAGTTGCTGCTTGTTTATATCCTCTAGAAAACAAGAGATTGAAATAATTTATTATTCTCCTAGTTTAGAAAATTTAATAAGTTGTTTAATAAAACCATGCAGCTGCGAATCGATGTAAATACCGCCGGACAAAGGCAAAATTCACATCTTATTTTAAAGCATAAGATAAAATTTTCTCCTTCGCGTCAGTCATATTAGCGAAAGATTAACATTTTTTTGAAGTAAAAATCTGCGGTTGACAATTCCGTTCGTGCTGATTGTTTAATACGTATCCTTATTGCGCACCTTAAGGTGACTCGACCCAGTTTTTTTTAGGGGGTACCATCCTACTTTGAAGCTCTCTGGTATCCCCACCTTTACTTTTATCGTAAGTATAACACATAGAATGGATAACATATAGATCAATCTACAATAT